CCCCCCCCCCGCAGTGACTTGCGCGCTGGATGAGCCCATGCCCGGCTGGATGGACAACCTAAACGGCTTCGCCATCTTCTGGGCGGTGGTGAGCAAGGGTGTGTTCAGGATCCACTACACCAAGGACATCGAGATGCAGTTCGACTTGATACCCGTGGACACCGTCGCCAAGCTGACGATCCTTGCCACCTGGGCCAAGGGCACCGGACTCCTCGTGTAAGTGTCTGAGCCACCTTGCACCTAGCTTTCGTTCAGTTATCCTTCACTTCGATTAAAGGCACGTCGTCCCCCGTAGGCACGAGCCCGGCGAAACCTACGTGCTCAACGCCACCGTCGGGGACGTGAAGCCGTCCACCTACAGCATGATGCAGACCACGTTCAGGAGGAACCTGGAATGGAAGAGGACGGCGTACCCAGGAGTGGTGCGCTTCCCGGACCACTTAGTCGTCAGCAACAAATTCGTCTACTACGTCCTCGAGCTGTTCTACCACACCCTCTTCGGCGCCATTGTCGACACCTTGCTCTCCGCGTTCGGGCAAAAGCCACAGTGAGTGTCCGTAATTCTATAATCGAATGTATTCTGGTGACAAAAAAATAGTTGTCAGACGTTCAATTGAGTTACTTGCTAGAACACAGCAAGAACAAAGTTGTCGCTGCAAGAGCGTGCTAAATAACCATACCTCCTCCATACCTCCATACCTCCAACCATAACTCCTCTTACTTTTGCCCCCAGGTTGATGCCGACCTATAGAAAGATCGCAGGTGCGTTCGCAGCTCTGTCTTACTTCCAAGAAACCGCCTTCACGTTCGAAAGCGACAACAAATGGCGACTTGTGGCTATGCTGCACCCGCGGGATCGCAAAGCATTCAGCTTCTTCGACGAGCGGGGCGAGCTGGGCCACTGGGACGACATCTCGAGGGACCAGCTGCTGGGCGTGTGCAGATACGCGTTAAAGGAGCCAATCCGGGGCCAGGAGGACCTCGACAAGAACTACAAGCTCGTGAGAATGTGAGTGACAGTGACTTCAATCTACTTCAAACTTCGGGTATTCATCTATAATATAATCTGAATGGTTGTTACCCGCAGATTTTGGTGGTTGGAGGCGTGCTGGTACTTCTTTTTGGCCGCGGTAGCAGTCTGGATTTTGGCGAGGAGGTTCGGCTGAGTGGACTCGGTTCACGCCAAGAAGACCCGCAGCTGATACTGGGCACTCGACAAACTCATGAGTCCCATTTCTTCGGGAGACGTTTTCAAACTAACTAAGAAAGTCTTTTTTCGTATGTAGTGATTTATGCGTATGGATTTATGCACGAAGTCAGACATAAATGTGTATAATTTTGTGCATTGACTAACAAAAAAGTATACATTTATAGTTAATGCACAAAATTTAACAGATCTCTGTTTGAATATGTACATAATTAAGCTCGCTTTGGTGCATAAATCCGTGCGCACGAATCACATCATACGACATGTCAGCAGAAGCAGTAACTGGTGACACATGTAACGTCGCATTAGGTGTTTGACTGAATATGGGGCTGCGTCCGTCCCCAACGCAGCGTATTGCCCGTCGCTCACCCTGGGCCGGGCGCACAAGCTGACCTTGCTGACCTTACTTGTCCCCCCTATCGCCCAATGCAAGGTCGGCGGTACTATAGAGGAAGGCCGTAGTCTCTGCCGTGTCTGGCATACGATCCTACGCGGGGGTTAGAGTGCACTTCAAAATTTGCGTCACTACGATATCGTAAAAAAATTTAGACGCGCATTTTTATGCTGAAATAACGACGCGCCCGTCCAGTTCTTTATTTATATTCCAGGTGGCTGACTCACGCCGCGCACTTTCGTAGTTATACTGTACCGCATGCACGCGTGCGGGCGGGTTGCCTACTCGCACGGGGCTGTAAGGAGCCGTGGGCAGCGTGAATGCAAACCCGCCCGCACCCCTGCATGCGGTACAGTGTAACTACGAAAGTCTGCAGAGTGAGTCAGCCACCTGGTAGAGAGAGCGCTGAACTGGAAAACAAAATCATTTGTATTATTGACCAAAATATGATCGATCTGACGTTGACTCGACCAATACTTGCTATCGGCTCATATTGCAAGGGTCATGTTGAATGAAAAAAAAAAGACAGGAAAAAAATGGAAGAACTGAAAAAAAAATTGCCTTTATCTGTATCTACCTATCTACCCGTCCGTTTGATTTCAGTCATAATAAGAAATGCACGCACGATCGAGCAATCCTCGCCTGAAATCTGCACCTGAAATCGGCACCACGACAAGCCCGCGACCAAGCCCGCCCCCGCACCTGCTGCTGGTGAGTTTCAGGAGAGGTAAACGACATCAAGAAGAGGAAATGTCAGAGAGGAAATGTTGTTTACTTGAATCGACCGGCCGCGCAGCCAGCGGAGATCCGTAGGATGCTCGGCCCGTTACCGTCGCGCGGGAAAGCGGAGACAACAAAAACAGAAAGAAAAGTAGCGCTGCCATTCGCTGCAACAACTACTACTACTGCCGTCTACCGGCGGCTCCTGCCGCCACATCCAGCGCCTGGAAGGAGCTTTGAACCCGACCCGAGGAGTCGAGCCTCGAGCCGAACGAGTGACACGGCGGAGTCACGCGTCACTAAGGAGTGTGACCGACAACGTTCAACGACCCGCGCCGGACGGACAAGTTCCCGGAGAAGGAAACTAGGAGTGTAAGCCAATGCAAGCGATCATCGGTGGAGCAGGCCGTCGTCGGGGCGGGGCGGGGCG